ACCACACTGGTAAATAGGAAAAGTGTTTGACATTCTCTGGAGGAAAAGGTTGTCTAAGCTGTAACCAGCTGCAGACAGATGACTCACAGGTTCATGGCATCCTCTATAAGAGGATACAGTTCCCAACATCCATGAGCCTTGGTGGATAAAACTCAACACCTAGTGAGGATTGGCAGGAAAGGAGGGTTTATGTGCCAAAATATTTATGCCCCTATTCCTGCCTGGCACCAGTAATGGCTGTCCTGAGGGATGCCCTGTAGGTCACAGAATAGAATCACAGAGGGAAAGCAGAAACATGGGTGGTAACAAAAGGGAAGCCCTCAGGCGACTGATTCTAGTTCATTCCAAAAGGCAGTTGCTTTAAACCTTCTATCCCAGGACAGCAGGCAATGAGAGGTCATGGTGAGGAGCCCGTCACTCACTTCTTTGATAGTATTTATTGAGCACCTATTCCCAAAGCCAACAGTGCCCTGCAATGCCTCCGAGCACTGCCAGGCGCCTGTTCACTGAGCTTCCTGCATCTCTGAGACCGTCCCCTGGCTGTGATTGGCTGGTGAGGGATGGAAGCTAGTGTCCCACTTCCTTTCCCATTTAGGTGTGTTCTCCTCTGTCTTTCAGAAGGTGCCAGGTGTGAGGGAGCCCAAGTGGTACCCTGTGTTTGTCTCTGAGCTTCACCTTGTAGCATGGTTGTGAGGATTAAATGAGGCAGTGGTATCTCCACTGCTGCTTGTCACCACGTATCCATCAGTGCCTGGGAACCAAGCTTTGTGCTCAGGCTTCTGCCACATTCTCTTGTTAATTCTCATAGTGACTGTACTGAGGTAGGACCTTAATAATCGCGGTTTTAAGGTGAGAGCACTGAAGTGGATCAATAGCTCACCGGAAAGTCGCGACCTTTGTGAAGTCCTGCCGTGAGAATTCAGGGTAGCAAAGGAAGTACCGTCTTCACTGTTACCGTCATCACCATTATCTAGTTGGTGCCCCATGTTTATTTATTTATTTAAAAAAGGAATAAATGAGTGTTAACATTTTTGAGCTTGTGAACTTTCTGTTGTTCTTGGCTGTGTCTTCAGACAGCAAGCAGCCCCAGGCACGTGGCAGGTGCAACTTAAGAGTTGGTTGAATGAAGGCATGAGGGCAAAGTGGAATTCTTTTTTCACTTCCTGGTAATCTCCTGGTTCTAAGAGGCTCATGTTGATCAAGATGTGTTATTGGTCTCACGGTAACAAAAACCAGTCTTAGAAATGAAAAGGCTTCAAACCCCCAAGCAGTATTTATCTTCAGGTGTTATGATCATGAATGGTTTTCTTTTTTTTTCAATAACAGTTTTTCTGATGTTCTTGGATTACTTTCACAACAGGAAAGAAAGAATCCCAGTTTAGAAAAAAAAGCTCAGTCTTCAACCAGGTGCTCACCGTGGAGGCCTGTGGGAGAGGTCTAGGCACAGGGTGGATGCCCACCTGGCTGGCGTGGGCTGAATCAGGCAGCAGGGTGTGAGCGGCTCTGGAGGCACATCTCACACAGCTCTTTCACACCGCATCTCTGTGGAGGGTCACAGCAGTGTTGCGATGTAGGCTGGGTTTGTGTGGCCTCATTTCACAAATGAGGGGCCTGGAAGCCAAAGAGGGTCACCTGTGAAGGTGAGGTATTGACACTTATTTGAGTTTAGGCCCAGTGGTAGTATTTATTGAGCATCTACTCTGGATACCAACACTGCCATGCCCAGCAGCCTATCTCTCACATGCACACACACACACACACACACACACACACACACACACACACCCCAAACAAACCATTAAAGGAGTGGGACAAAGGTGGAGGTGGCCCTGTGGACCAGGGATTCCCACAGCAGCACCTGTAGGACCTTTTTTGGAGAGGAAGCCTGGTTTGGAGTTTATGAGTCAGATGACCTGCGTCAGAATGTCAGTTCTGCCACACACTGTCTTGGCCATTTTATTTCATATTTCTGAGCTTTGGTTTCTTCTCTATAAAGCTGGCCCATTATCTGTCTTGCAGGACTTTTGTGAGGGTCAGCTTGGCACCAAGTGGGTGGACATTCTGCAAGACTCTGTGCTGGCTGGTACACGGCTCTCACTTCTTCTGACCTCTGTTCCTACTCATTGGTGTTCATAAATAATATTCCTGTGAGTATCGGTCAGTACTGAAAACCTCAGCATTGCAGTGGCTTGCTTGACTGCAGATAGTTATTTCATGGTCACAGATCTGTGGGGTCGTTGTGGGTTAGCATGGCTGCCTCTTGCTGGTTCGGAGGTGCTCCACATCTCCAATCTGGGGTCCAGACTAAAAGGTAGCAAGTGATAGGTGCAAGGGAGACATGGGCAGACTTGGGGACTCACACACCACTGTCTCTTCCATGTACATTCCATTGGCCAAGGCGAGTCGGTGGTCCAGTTCAGGATGCAGTGGGATAGGGAAGTAAAGGACACCAGTCCCAGTGGGAAAACTAGACATCACATAACAGAGGGCAGGAATGTGTAACTCAGGTTTGTGTTGGGACATATCTGGCTGGAGGGATCTGGCCTGCCACACTGTCTCAGAGGTCCACTGGGGTGAAGCAAGCCGAGAGGTGGGCTGGGAGAGGCGTTGACCGTCCATGCAAGTGACAGCTCTTACCTGTCAGCGATGTGTGCTTAGTACAGTGAGGATCCGAGATCTTTGTTCTAGGAGGATTCTGTAAAAGCGGTATCGCCCTCTACTTACACACTGGACTGTACCGCGCTGTGGCTTTGTCACCAGTTGTGAAGTCAGGAAATGGACATCCTCCAATGTTGTTCCTCTTTTCCAAGATGGTTTGGCTATCCTGAATTCAACACGTTTCCATATGGAATTTAGGATAAGCTTGTCCATCCTCCACCTAATTAAACGGTTCAGGTTCAAGAAGATTCAGTCAATGACCATGAACATCTAGGGTTGAGGGAAGAGTGTTGATTATATATCCAACAAATGTTTATTAATGTCCTTTTGCCAGGTATTGTGTGAGCAAACAAAACAAATAGTCTTTGTTCTCAAATAGTTGATCATCAAGCCAGATCAATAAATATTAATCAGTCTTCATGTTTAAGAATACAGAGATAGTCCCTGACTTACCATGACTTTATAATGTTGAAAAAAATGGACCCATACAACTGTTCTGTTTTTATTAAATAAATTACATGAGATATTTAACATGTTTTTATAAAATAGAGTTTGGGTTAGGTGATTTTGCCCAATGTGGGTTAATGTGAGTGTTCTGAATTTGTGTAAACTAGGCAGGCTAACCCGTGATGTTCAACATTAGGTGTATTCAAAATGCATTTGACTTAGGATATTTTATCTTAATTGCATTTATTGGAAATAATCCCATTGAAGTCAAGGAGCATCTGTAACATTAAAATCTGAGGAAAATGCCATAATCTGATCTGGAAGGGCAGAGACAGTTTCTCTGAGGACATCACATTTAAGAGAGTGCAGGTGTTAGCTGGACAAAGAGGCAAAGAGGGTGGGAGAGGAAGCCACCTCTCCCACAGCGTGGGAGAGCGTGGGTGAGGGACCTGTGACACAGGAAGACCTGCAGCATGTTCCAGGATCTAAAAAAAAAAAAAAAAAAAAAGTCCTGTGGCTGCAGCCTGAACCTGGTGGTCAAAATGAGAACAGAGAGGGGCACATAAGTCCAAGCGCACCGAGAAGCCATTGGAGAATGTTCAGCGTGGGGAGGAGAGACGGGAAGTGACACCATGGGATTTATGTCTTAAACATTTCATTCTGCATATCAGTCAGTTGTAAGATGTGGGTCTTAACTGGATATGGGTTTTGAAAAACAAATGCCATTTTTTGACATTTATGAAACTAGTAGGAATGTGAATATTGTGTGAAAAATTGATGATATCAAGGAATCATCTAATCACCTTTTTTTTTTTTTTTAAGTGTGGTAATGGTATTGCAGTTGGCTTTTTATGGAAGACCTTATCTTAGAGATGCACACTGTGAAATTGATGTCTGAAATGATGTCCAGAATTTCCTTCAGAATTACAATGGGCCAGGGGAAAGGCTGAGAGGTGTGGTCAGGGTAGGATTGACTAGGGGCTGCTGAAGGTCAAGGTGCTGTCGTGATGGCTGATGGTGATTGGGGCCGGGTGGTGGGATTTTGTGGTGCTCTTCTCTGTTTTTGTGTTAGTAGAAACTTTTCATGGGAGACCTGGTTGAGGGGGAGCAATGGCTGAGGGAGATCAGGTGGGAGGCAGTTGCAGTGGCCCAGGTAAGAATAACGGTGGCTTGGTCCAGGGCTGTGGGTGGGGATGTAGAGAGTGAGCTTGAGAGATCTTTAGGAAGCAAAGCAGAGAGGTGACTTGGATCAGATACAGGGATGCGGGAGAAGGTGGTCCAAGAGCTTCTGGCCTCAAATGGAGATGCTATTCTGAGCACAGGATCTTGGACCGTCCCTGGGCTCCTGATTTCTCATTGCCACCTCTCTTTCCCCTTCATTCCTCAACTACTGAAGCTGTTTGCTTATGTAACAGCTTTTATCCCAGACTTCCTGCACTCTGTGCGCTCAGCAATTAATTAAGCTTTGGTGTGCCTGCATTAATTACAGTCCTCTCCCGGGTTCAGAGGGGCTGTCTTGAGCCACATACGTTCTCCCGAATCTACTTCCTTCCTGGGGCTGGTTCTCTTTGCCGCGGGGGGAGCCTGTCTGCCTTCCCGTGGGCACACCGCTGCAGGTGTCTGTCTGTGGCATATGCCAGCACACTTTAATTTCATGTTAGGAGCCTAGGTCTAGAGAAGTTAATGACTTGTAAATTGCTCTCCAACGTAGAGCTAGAAATAGAATCCAGGAAGGATCCCTGAGCACTTCCTTGCACAGAGACAGCCACGGAGCTACCAGCCCCAAAGTTCTCCCTCCTGCGCCCGGACAGCCACCCCATGTGCAAGGACGTTACTAGCAAGGGCGCTGGCCCCAAGTGAAATCAAGGGCGGGCCTGAGACAGTGTCTTCTGCACAGGCCGCTGGATGACCCTTGTTACCTTTTCTTCCTGCCCCCCTCCAGGTGATTTCTGATGTGACGGCTGAGACATGAGATCTTCAGCCTCCAGGCTCTCCAGTTTTTCCTCGAGAGATTCACTATGGAATCGGTGAGTGCTCTCCAGCCTGTCCCTCCCGGGAAACCCAGCCTGGGACACGCAGAGGGAGTCCTTTTGGGGGTTGAAATGCAGTACTGAAACACTGGGACCTGACCGGAGATCCCTGGTGGGTAGGGCTGTGGGCTTCTCAGTGTTCTCTGCCGTGTGAGTGTTGCTTCCTTATTTGGAAGGAAAGGTGGGGCGGGGCAGAAAGGGTCAGGAAGGGCAACAGTCTGCCACACTCTCTGTGCCATCCCTTCCTGGGAAACATTGTTTCATTCATTTGCAGGATTCCTGCCACATTAGAACTGCTACATTCATTTCCCAGATAAAGAACCGGCTCCCTGGGACTTAGAGTGGATGGTCCCTGATCCCAGGTCCCCTGCCTTTCTATCTGCCCACTTGCCTCCACTTTGCAACTAGGAACACTGAGGCCTGGTGTGGGCGCAGGCCTCGGAGAGGGAGGGCTCTGACCTCAGTGGATGGAGTCTGTGTCGGAGGTAGTAAGACAGTAGGCTGGACAGGAAGAGCTGTGGGCAGAGAACACTGTAAACTCAGCCTCCCAAAATGGTCAGGGTGACGTGACAAGGGCTTGGCTTGTTTGTGGCTGGGGTTTCCAAGAAGTCATCATGGAATGAGGAAAGAGCCGGCTCAGTGTCTTCTGTTTCCTTATCTATAAAAAGGAGGTAATAATTGTGTCTTAGGTTTTTTTGTGTGTGCAGGTTAGAGAAAAAAGTACATAGTAAAGAATCTTACTTACATAAAACAGGCACATAGAGCACTGTAATTAGTTCAGTTTTTAAGATAAAAATAGTTTTTAAGAATGATTAGACAAGCAAGAGTATCCTGAACGGGTGGGAGAGGTAAGAGGCTGGAGGTAGGGAGTCAAGACTGAGGGCTTTTCAGGTGACATAGCCATGAGGTGACACAGTCACAAGGTGACAAGGACCTGCTTATTTTCATCGTTGATCTATTCCAGGATTAAGCAAAATCATGTTTTGTCCATTTTGTGATTTGTTAAGTCAAAAGCTGAACACCAAATGGCATTAATTTTGCATGTTGGAGTTTTAGGTGACATTAATTATGCTGTAATTGCAAGAATTCAGGGCATTCCTGGAATTAGGTTTTGCTGTGAATAATGAAAATTGTCTTTAAAAATATAGAAAGTATACATTGTCTCTTGTCTAAAAGTTCAGACATAAATGGTGTAGAGCTGCTATAGAAATCTGTGAGACACCCAGGAGTTTTCTTTCTTGTTTCACTGCCCCGTGGTTCTCTATATCCAAGACAACCTCATGGTCCCATTCCAGCTGCTTTTGCTCCAGACATCGTATCTGCCAGCAAAAGGAAAGAACAAGAAGAAAGGTAGTCCTCCTCCTTTAAGGATGCTTCCTGGATAGCACACCTGCTGTTTCTTCTTATATTCTGTTGGCCAGAATTTAGTCCTGTGGCTTTGCTTAGATGAAAAGAAGGCTTGGGAAATATAATGTTTATTCTGCGAGACTGTGTGCTTACTGAATTGAGTGTTTTTATCATAGAAGATGAAAACAGATAACAGAGGACAGATCTTTCTGTGGCCTTGCTAATAGTTACTGAAAGTTCGCTACTGAGAGGACAACCTCTAGGGCCAGACTGCTGGAGTCCTGAGTCCTGGATCCGTGGCTCCACAGTCAAGTCACCTCGGAGAAGTTCCTTGACTTCTGGGTGCCTCTGCGTTTTCACCATTAAAAATCCTGGGGTGTACAACTCTGTAAGTTCTTCTGAACACTAGATGAATTTAGCAAAAGCACTCAGGAACGGTGCCTGGCCTATAGGAAATGCCACATAGGGACAGCTATTACCCCTGCTTCTGTGACCTGCTCCCCTACTCCTGCTGTTCCTGGTACTACTGTTACCACTTCCCCTGTTACCGCTGCTTCTGTTACTCCAGCTGCGGCTGCTATCCCCCGCCCCCTCAATTTGAAGATCAGCATCAGGAGAGGACCCTTGCGTGAGTAGAGACACAGTGACTGGAAGGGACACGAGGTGAGGGTCTGGGTTCTGCTGATATTCCGTTTCTGACCTGGGTGCTGGTTTCTTGGGTGTCAACATTCCTTGAATGTTGTACTTGAGATGTGGACAGTTGAGTGTATTTGTCTCGTACTTCATGACAACCGGCTGTGTGGCTGGTAATCGGTGAAGCACGGGTGAAGCCTTCACCTGCCCAGTTCTGAAGCTGTGCTGTCATTTCTATCGATTGCCTGATTCGTTCATTCATCTAACATACATTAATCAATTGCATATTACTTAGGTGCCAGGAGCTGGGCCAGGTCACGTGGGATACAGGTGTGTATGCAAGTAGCCCTTTGAGGGGCTTTCTGTCTGCAGTAAAAGAGGTGAATACCAAACAGGTTGACAGCCACCAGGTTAGTTCCCTGGGGGACACACTGGAGCCACAGAGGGGCACTAACCTAGCCCTGCAGTCCCAGGTCTGCAAAAGTCTCAGAGATGCCCCTCCCCTCTGGCTCCTTTGATGGGGGAAAAGTTCCCCAGTAGTGGGCAAGCTGACCAGTGAGGGTTACATCACGACAGTTTTCTGTGCCCCCTTGCCGGCACTGAGAAGGGTCAGCTCTCCTTTACTTGTCTGTCACTATCGCAGGTGTGATCCTACCTGGCATTCCATGGAGCAGGCCAGGGTGGGGCTTTGGCCATTCCTCAGTAGAAGAGAAAGGGAACCACAGCACTGGAGACTTCCCATGTTGGTTAGCAGGAGTGCAGGCCCTCTTGTTGAAGATGGCCTGTGACTGAATGAACAGTGGCATCACAGCCCTCACCATGCTGTCGCTTGCCCTGGGATAACCCAAGTCCGGGGGGAGTAAGGGAATAGAGCTATTTCTTATTTTTTCACCCTCAAACCCAGAAAAGGCAAGGCTGTAAAGAATGGAAGCCAAGTGAATTCCTAGCCCACGGTGGAAATGTTGGCCTTATTCTTGGAGTTTCTCTTCATATGCACAAATCCCTGTAGACCCTCCCAAGCCAAGCCCCTGGGAAGCTCCTCTGTGCCTGCCCCACCTCCCCTTGCCTTTCCAGATGCAGACGCCCTGTCATTACCATGCCGCCGGCTGTCAGCCCAAATTGAATTTCCCTGAGCCCAGCTGATGTCCCTGTTTGGCTGCAGGGCAGGGGTCAGGAATGCATGCGGCACATGGACGGAAACGTGTCCCTGGAGCTGAACACAGAAGGCTGACCTCTCAACTCTGCATTTCTAGCATAGGTGGAAGGGTAAGGAAGCGTTGGGGTTTCTGGATGTAAAAGAAAAAGATAATGCATTTTAGAAAAACAGCGTTCAAGTTCCACAGCGAGAGCCTTTCAGTGTAATGGAAGCTGTGTCCAATTCAACTGGACGCGGCCCAGCTTTGGCCAGTCCTCAGTTGGATATGTTCAGGAAGGAACTCCTCCTAAACCGAGAGTGGGGAAACCGACCCTGGCCTTGTCTCCCTCTTCCCTTCTTCCCTTCCCTCCTTCAGGAAGTGTCAACCAGCTACTATGTGCCAGGTCTTGAGTGTAACCTGGGCATGAAGGAGTCTTGCTGCAAAGCCTCCTCAAACTTACCATCCACTCATTTTTTATTTTATTTCATCTTAGTTCGTTTACTTACTTTATTTATTTATTTTGGTACCAGGGACTGATCCCACGGTGCTTACCCACTGAGACACATCCCCAGACCCTTTTACGTTTTATTTTGAGACAGAGTCTTCCTGAGTTGCCCAGGGCCTTGTTAAGTTGCTTAGGCTGGCTTTGAACTTGCAGTCCTCCTGCCTCAGCCTCCTGAGCTTCTGGGATGATAGGCATGTGCCCCAGCACCCAGCCCATTCATATTTAGAAAACTACACTCCCTCCACAGATGTCTGGGGAGCACCTCACTTGCTCAAGTGTCTTAGACACAAAAGCCACGTTTCCTCCTCTTGCTGGTTTTTGTTTTGTTTTGCTTCTGTGGTGCTGGTGAGGCAACCCAGGGACGGCCCCATGCCTGCTGAGCAGAGGGCTCTTCTGCTGAGCTGCACCTGCAGCCTGTCCTCTTAATTAGTTTATACTTGATTTTTCTGAACTTGCTCACACAGCAGACACTTTCCGAGACCTACTGTGCGCCAGAGACTGCATCAGCTGCTGGGATCCAAGGTGTGCAAAACAGCTCCCTCTGTGATGGCACCAAAGGCCTGGACAACAGTGTGCGTTCCCCAGGGCTGCTGTCACAAGTGCCACACACTTGGTGGTTCAGAACAGCAGAGTTCACTGTCTCATTCTCCTGAAGGCATGAAGTTTGCAATCAGCGTGTCGGCAGGGCTCTGGTGTCTCTGAAACAGTAGAGGACACCCCTCCTCGCCACTTCCTAGCCGCTGGCATTTACCAGCAATCAGCGTGTTCTTGGCTGACAACCACGTCACCCCAGTCTCAGTCCGTTGTCACATGGTGCTCTCTCCTCTACTTTCCCATAAGGCCATGAATCGTGCTAGATTAAGGGACTGCCCTGCACTTTATTACCCCATCTATTCTGGGGGGATGTTACTGAGGTTGAACCTACAGGTGCCTTACCACTGAGCTACATCCCAGCCCTTTTTTAAAATTCCAAGACAGGGTCTTGTTAAGTTGCCCAGATGGCCTTACACTTGTGATCCTCTTGCCTCAGCCTCCTGATTATAGGCGGGCGCAAGTCCATGTGACCTCATCTTAATTTGCATCTTATCTTATACAAAGACCCTATTTTCAATAAAAGGTCACACTCATGGCTACAGGGACTAGGACTTTCACGTTTTTGTGGGGCAGCGCAGTTAATTACAGGCATGTACGTCACATGGTGGGTCACCTGCACCTTCTTTCCACTCACCTCAGCCCAAGGTAAATGCCTGGAGGGCAGCCACTCCCCCTTACTCTGAGTGCTTCAGGTTTCCTGCCTGGGAAGTGAGACAGCTGTTTCTCCTGTGCTTTGGCTGGGAGATACTTGTGTGGTCCTAGTAATGGGGAGAGCTCCTTCT